GATGAAGTTGTTGCATCAGGTCTTAAAGGAGTCTCTCCTGTCCTTAGCAGCTTTTCAGCAATGGGAGACAGAGTCTTCGCGCAGCGTGGTGCTATGTAGGCTATGTAGTGCTATCGACCGCTGCAGATTCAATTCGAGTTCTCGTGCGAGATGTTATCGTGGAGACGGAACTGTCGTTGTTTTTCTTTCTGCAGCTTAAGCTAGGGGCTAGGGCACCATGCTCGCGATCTGCTGGAGGCAGCTCAACGGAACTGTGGTACGCTTTTGACATCCCAGTTTGAGGTCTTGACAAAGGCTCTGACGGCCACCGATGCTGTGACAGCAGGACCGTTCGATCCGGGGGCTCTCGGGGCTCTCGGCTCCGACAAGACAGTAGATACTCAGTAGGTTCATTTCTTTTCCATTTTTCAGCGGAGAGGTAGGCAGAACATACCGGTGCATGCAATAGCGACAGCGATGCCTAGAAACAGCTGTTCCGTCACTGCTGGGGCCCTACAGTGTTGGGTTGTTCCAGTGATTCCAGTGAAAACTAGTTTTCCTTCGTGAAGGTTGTTCTATTTTTCTGTGCAGCGTTTCAGCCGATGGATGGGGTCGGCTCGGCTTGGCTCCCTGGATAAGAAGAACCCAGGCTTCAGTAGCAAGAGAAGCCCGCGGCTGCAGTATGCCTCAATTTCAGGAAGGCCGTTGGCTCTTACCAGTTACTGGGAGCAACTGATCAAGGGCCCTTTCCTTCTGTGTCCAGTGAGGATATTCCTAAACTTCGATCCGCGTGCCTACCAATGTGGATTGTCTCAGCTTTGCGTTCGGGAGGGCTGCGCACCCGTAACTGCTACTTTCCTGAGTGTGCATGCCGAACCCCTGAAATCGAAACCCAAAGGTGCTCCGTGCCTTTAGCTCGGCTAGGCAACCAGTGAGTGAGCAGGCCCGCAATGGAAACGTAGCTTGTTGCCGCAAAGCAGTAGCGGAGCATCCCGATGTGTGCCTTGCTCGGATCATTTAACCGATCATTGAGAATTTGTTGACCCCAACCTGCGAGATGCACGGCCTGGTTTCTGAGGAACAAAGCATTGCAAAAGTACTCGCAGTTCATGCTGGGCAAGAAGCTCAAGCAGGACTAAATTACGGCCTCGGGTTGGAAGTTCAGCACTGCATCTACCCGATCTACCCGTCCTTGAATCTGGCTAGATCGGCTGGTAGGCTTGACCTGCTCAGAGCTGTCACAGATATTACACTGTCAGACATATTCACAGTTGTGCACTTCCGTGTCTTTGCTGCATTTCTCGGCTTGGTTCTTCAATCTACAGCCCGCAAAACACCCAAGTCGAGGACAACAAGTCACTTCTGACCTCCACCTTCGCCGAGTGGCGCCGAGAGGGTAAAGTTCTCAGGCCGGGAACTGAACGAGATGGGCATGCGCTAGGAGGTACTCTCTACTAGACATCACAGCTGCTGCATTGCCACTATACGAGCTGTTTCTGTAAGGTTTGTATATATTTACGATTTAGGTTATATATATATATATATCTATGTACAATTGACAAGTAGCTGCAGTAGATTGATGAGTGTGCCAGAAAACTTGTCTGCAAGTGGCAACGTGCTCTCTCAGTGGCTATGCACTCTCTGGCCATGATGGATCGCTTGCGTAAGATTGCTGCGGATGAATGTCCGCGTGCGGAGCCCCAGGCATGAAGAAGCCCTGAATACCCTGGAAGAGCGCGATGCCGCAGCCTTAGAGTCTTAGAGCCTCTTGTGTGTTTCGCGTGTTCCGCATTTTGCATCGTCAGCATTCGCTTGACCTGTCTTGTAGACACTGTGGGGGCACAAATGCACGGCTTAGGGTGTAGAATGCTTCGGAATGCGATCCCCAGCCTCTATCCAATGTGACCAGCGAAGTCTGCCACCATCCCTAACAGCACAAGCCAATGCATCAGAACGATGCTGCTGTGCTACGAAGGCTTGCTTCAAACCACTTATTTTGGTCCGGTTTCTTTGTTTCCTGACTACGGCGGATGCTCTCTGCCATTCGAACTAGCAGCCTGCAAGAGGTTTCTCAACGTGCCTGGTGCTTGGATCGTTTGTTTGCCCTGGTGGACGATCTTCCCGAGTAATTAACAGTGTCCAGTTAGTCATTCTAAAGCTGTGCTTGTTGTCGTCGTTTCCTGCTCTGGTAGTGAGCCAGTTTATTTTAAGTATTGGTAAGGAGATCATGCTGAATATAGTTCTTTTGCAGCCTCTTGCGCCTTGGTATTCTTTACAGACTACTAATGGCAGGCAGCATCAATCAATAATTTCACAAGCGGTAACAGGATAAGCCGTTTCAGAATGCTGGCAGCAGTCTTTCACTCGTTCAAGTCCTTGCTGTTCCTCCATGCAGTCGCCGTTGTATTGATGGTGCCAGAGCAGGTCTACATCGCCCAGCTAAAGGCTGGCTTTGAGGACAGTTTGCTCTTTTCGGTTGAGCGTCAGCATGTTGTGCAGCGCGAGGTTTAGGGTTTAGTCAGTTTAGTCCTGAGTCGAGGGTTGCTGAGCTAAATCAGCTAGTCCAAGCTATTGTGCAGGGCTGCTTGTGAGCGCTTCAAGCCTTCGCTGCAATACGAACGTGTTCAAGCCGGTCGACTCTGTCATTGTTGTGGCCTAATTGACGTTCTGTCGAAAGGGGCGCATTCCCCGAAGGAACAGCTTGCTCTGGCATATCAGCAGATTGACCAGATCACTGAGACCTTGCAGAAGGACGGCCTGCAACTTCTGGGCAGGCCAACCTGGATTGGTCCGTAGCCTCCAGAGCATTATGTAGGAAGTGAGTATAACCTGATATGCCAGCAGGAGCTTCAAACGAAGGAACAGCTTGCACAAGAGTTGCGGGAAGCGTGCGCGTGCTTGATGGCTTGTTGTTCCTGAGATGTCTGAATGTGCCTTGAACCAGTACAGTAGTAGTAAGTACAGTAGCAGTACAGTAGTAGTACAGCATGTAGGGCCTGCGCGAATGCCCAAGAATCCTGCATGACCCCATGGGGATGCAACGTTGAAATTAAGGGGTCGCGGGGAAGTGGACAGCGCGACATAACTGGTAGTGGCAATTGCAGCGACAGTGGCAGAGGCAGTAGAAGGCAGTGGCAGTTGCAGTGGCAGTGGTGGTGGTACTAGTAGTAGTAGTAGTAGTAGTAGTAGTAGTAACTAGCAGTAGTGGTTGTTGTAGTGGTAGTAGTAGTAGTAGTAGTAGAAGTAGTAGAAGAAGCAGAAGTAGTAGTAGTAGTAGTAGTAGTATTAGTAGTAGTAGTAGCAGCAGCAGCAGCAGGAGGAGTAGGAGGAGGAACGTGCTAGTGCAGTGGTAGTAGTTGTAAAGGAATAGTCGTACTTGGGATAGTATGAGCAGTAGGAGTAAGACGTGAAGTAGCAGGTGGAGTAGCAGCAGTAGTGGTGACTGCAGGCTGGTCTTGAAGTTGGCTGGAGGGGCAGCTAGGTCTAGGTATGGTCTCAGCATGGAATCCTACGTCCTTGAGCTTCGTAGGCCAGCGACAGATCTCTGCCAGCAAGGTACGAAAAAAGTCGAAAGATTGCCTGGAGCCCACATCGGATCTCGGATCATGTCCACATGGGCAACCTCCACCTGTGTTACAGCTGTCCTTATACCACTGCCGGCCTTTATAATGGATAGTTGTGCCAAGGATGAGGGTCGAAAGCGGATAGTCAGACTCGTACTCCTCACGAGATCTCAGAAGAACATCTGCGATGACAGCAAAGCGCCAACATTGCTAGTAAACAGTTGTGTG